CTCTTTTATATGGAGTATTATGAAACTGTCCTTAGCATCAGACCACCAGACATGATCTGTATGTCGATATCTTCATCTGGGCAATTTAAACTTTCTTTGAGAGACTTGTTCTCTCTATACAGTTCAAGGTTGAATGGGAAATAAACAGTTAACTGTTCATTCCCAAAAACAATGATCTGGTCGAATTTTAACTTTTAAGAAAAACGTACTCACACTGCTATGTCCATTTCTACAGTCAACATTTAGTACAAATTAAAAAGAGCACTGTTTCAAGCCTCTTCTATGAGCACTTAGGATGTGAAGCACACCATAGTTAATCCAGCAATAAGAAATCTTCCTTAGAGTGCAGTTCTTACAACTAGAATACCAGGATTAGTTTATCCAATTAAGAGAGAGAAAAGCTAGCATTATCACAAAGTTTCAACTTCAAAGGACTCGATCCACTCCAGTGAGTCACAACTCACAGTACCCTTCCACCAAGGAGGAGTTATTGACTTGACAAAGTGACAAATATAATCAATTTCTTTCCCAACAATATAGGAAGTTTCTTTTCCAAGAAACACAATTTGTTACACAAGATACAACATGAGAGTATATCAGATCCCATGTAAAGATTACAATCTGGTATGCACTTGTCAGACTGGAAGAACTCTAGCAACTATGATTATTGAACACAAGAAGGCAATTCATTATGGGGAAGTGTGTTTGGCCCTCTATCAAAGTATTAGCATCAATAATAATATTCTTTGGGAAGCTTCTGTTTCATGGAAATCAGATCGCAGCTGCAAACGTAAAAATCATTGAATTGGCCCCCATAGACGCCACCAGTCTGTATCATGTAAGAACAATGGAAAACAGATGTAGGTTCAAAATTTGCCCTTAGAGGTATATATTAGCATCCAAACCATGGTATGGGTGGGGATTGAACTTGTGGCGAGTGAGATGTAAAACTCCAGACCAGCTGGCTAAAATAAGAATCGTCCAACTAATTATATATATATCATAGGGAGGTTAGCATGGGTCCCACTGTGACCAAAAGTTTTACAAATAAATGGTTGTGACAAACTGTAGCTCAGGTCCCCTCAAAGCCATCGTAATGACATGATTGCAAATAAATCATGGTACAGTTGGGCTTGAACTTGCAGCAGGCGAGTTGTAAAACTCCAGGCCAATGCTTAAGCCACTGGGCTAGCTGGCTACAATAAGACTCATCCAACTATGTATATTTATACACCATAGAGCTGCATGACCCTTGTCAGTTTAGTGCTTTACAGTAGTCTCCCCAAATTTGTGGGAGTTAAAAGAGAATGCAAAGATAAACCTGTATAGAGTACGTACTGTACTGCTGGCTCATGCAGTACTAGAATGTAAAATACTGATGTTACTCCCAGAAAATTCTAGAACTGCAGAGACAGTCATCACTTTCAAATCTACCGTTAGAAAACATCTTATCTCCCTGATACACCCTGTCAACTAACTACAGTGGACCCCCGAGTTTCGTGATTAATCCGTTCCAGAGAGCCCGCCGAAGGTCAAAATTCACGAAACTCGAAACCATTTTCCCCATAAGAAATAATGGAAATAACATTAATCCGTTCCAGACACCAAAAATATTAAAATAAAATATTTTTTTTCAAATTAAATAAAGATTTACATAATGAAAACAATCATAAATCAAGTACATGCATTTAAAATAAATAATAATAACATTACACTTACCTTTACTGAACACTTCTGGGTGGATGGAAGATGGGAGGGTGTACACTATTGTTTGGAAGGAGAATCTCCTTCCATTAGGACTTTAGGTAGCAAGTCCTTATCTGGGGTTACTTCCCTTCTTCTTTTAATGCCACTGGGAACAACTTGAGTCACTGGACCCCTGGCGCACAAAATATCTATCCAGAGAGGTCTTTTTCTGGCGTTTCTTTAAGATTTCTCTGAAGTGGGACACAACACTGTCATTGTACATGTTGCAGATACGGCTTGTTTCAACTTGGTCAGGGTGATACTTTTCAACTCATTCCACACATGTCCTTAATCACTGAAGAAGGCACCTCATCCACTCCCTCTTCCTCCTCTTCTGAAGCAAGTTCCTCGGCTGTGGTCTGATGCTGTTCCAGTTCGTCAGTGGTTAGCTCTTCCCTGTGGTCCTCCACCAACTCTTCCACATAAACCATACCACGGGTGGGGATAGAACCCGCCCGTGGTATGGTTTGTTTGCAATTGTGTCATTACGATTTCGTGAGTCAACTCTTCCACATCCCCGTCACTCACTTTATTTACCAAAGGGGTTGCACTAGCTTTCCTTGGGTCCATGATGACTTATTTAGCAGTTGCAAGCACAAAAAACAATGGATTATGATGAAATGTATTGTATGAACCCGCGGAGTGATGGTCAACAATGGCACACTGAGCGTGAATGGCGTGGGAGACTGGCTTTGTGTGCGCGGTGACGGGTGCCGAAACACGAGGCCAAATTTTTTCCCAAAAGACTCGCTGAAGGTCGAATTTCGAGGCTGCCGAAACTCGGGGGTCCACTGTACGTATATGAAAACCACCTGGTGGTTCACACTTTCACTCATCCATTTGACTATAAACACAGAAGTAAGAAACTTGATCTTAAATAATGAATCCTAACTAGTCATAAGTTTGCCTGTGATACTCCAATATAGAAACTATGTATTGTACCAAAACAAAAGCATTCACAAACTATAATGTAGTCACTTAGCCTTAATACCAACTTAATCCATAATAATTTAGAGTTAAGAATTACTCTAAGTCTGCCTGAAATGCCTAGCCATGCTAGGTGTCATAGTGGCCCCCTCTATAATTAGTATTTTATAACATGTAAACCACACAATATCCAAAATCTGTAAACCCCAGATAGTAATCTTTATAGAGGATAAACCTGATTGATATGTACTGTAATTAATGCAAGCCCATTTTCTTTGGTATACTGTAATTCATGCAACCCTGTTTTCTTTGGTATACATACAGTAATAATTAAATTTATACAGTATCATATTTTATATTGAAATTTTGCTGAATTTACATTAATGTAACAGTTAGTTAGTTTAATATGTTTATTATGCACCCCATACCCATCCTGTGGGCGGTAGTCAAAAGATTACAGAGGTACATAATTGGTCCAGGGACTGGACTCCAAAGTTTTGATAGCTGAGCAAGTTACAGAGGTAATGAACTCACAATTTACAAAGGTAATGAACTCACAATTTACAAAGGTAATGAACTCCAGGTAAGTCTGGTCACAATCATGACAAGTTACAAAGGTATTTACAGATTACAGAGGTACGTAATGGGTCCAGGGACTGGGCCCCCAAAGTTTTGATAGCTGAACTAGGTACAAAGGTAATGAGCTCACAAGTTACAAAGGTAATGAATTCTGTAGAATGGTTACTTACGTTTATACTTTGGCTACAATCATGAACAAATTATAGAGTAATGAGCAATTCACACTTCCACACCCGGTCACAACTGTAATGAGTTATTGGTGCAAATATTGATTGTTGAGTCACACCAGATTATTAAATATTTTTCTTAAAATCTGTAATGGAGGGTAGGGGCCAGCCTAGGAAAGGTGTAAAGGAAGTTTTGTGTGTGAGGGGCTTGGACTTCCAGCAGGCGTGCATGAGCGTGTTAGATAGCAAATGGTTTTTAGGACTTGACGTGCTGTTGGAGTGTAAGCAACATAACATTTATGAAGGGATTCAAGGAAACCAGCAGGCCAGACTTGATTCTTGGAGATGGGTAGTACATGTACAGTGCCAGCACTCTGTAGGAGGAGTGTTAATGTTGCAGTTTTCTAACTGTAGTGTAAGAATGCCTCTGGCAATACAGTGAATGATGAAAGGTTCTCTTGTTTGGGCCACCCTGCCTTGGTGGGAAACTGCCGATGTGTTAATAATAATATTTAGTGATGAAATGCATAAAAAAAATTGTGGGGATTTCTGCGAACAATTATTAGTTAGGTTCTAAGGAAAAATCCGCAAATTACTGAAGCCACGAATTCACAGGGGTGCACTGTATTTGATTATAATAATATACACCATAGGAAGGTTAACATTTGTGGTCACAATGGGACCCATGCTAACCTCTTTATGGTGTATATATATACAGCTGGCCCAGTGGCAGCTCCTACTCCTACAATTTTTCAGGCTCTTGTTTTTCTTTCATGAAGCTACTTCAGAGATGGTTCCATTTATGGGCATTCCTGACCAGACACTGCCCTCACTTGGGATGTTTATCTTTATACTATAAAATTGTTACTATCTCATGTTTTTCAGTCTGCTGAGGAATAAAAAAAAATTTTTGAAAACAATGTAGACAGTAATTTTCTAAAGTTGGTTAAACTAACAGATCATCTAGGAATTTCAAAAGAATACTTTGGCAGTCAAATGTATTATGCTTCAAAATTAATTAATATACAATTATTCATGGTTTTGTAAATGTGGAAGTATCCTGTATTGTTACTACTTAAATAATATATCCCTAATTTTTAAAGGGTGGACCAGCAAGCCAATGGAAGGCCTCAGTAAGATGACTAAAGCTCAAACAGTGGGTCATCATATGATTAAGACCTGCATCGGGAAACATTTGTCTTGTTACCCGACAAACCTAACCTTAATGGTATACAGTACTAGTGCAAGCTAAAACCCACATGTGTAATATTTGGATACCTTTATTATTAAAATGTTTTGCCTGCACAGTAGGCTTCTCAAGTCAACTTTTATGTCGGAGACACTGGAAGAGGTAATTTTATGAAGTTCATTCCCTTAGCCTTGATAGAAGGTATTCAGTTTGAGTCTCTTAAGCTTGATTGAAAGTGTTCAGGCAAAGGGACTGGGGCACCTTCCATTGTCTCCAGCATAAGTCATTTCTGTATTCCACTGAAAAAGACTGTTGTGCAGGTGAAATGTTTCAGCAATAAAGATACCCATGAAGTGTGCAGGTCTCTATTAATCAACCATTAATTTTTGCAGGTTCGCACTTGGAAGATGCACACCTTCACAGGAATCCAATTGGTAATGCTGGTCGTGTTGTGGATTGTCAAGCAGTCTCCAGCTGCTCTCTGCTTCCCCTTCGTCCTTATGCTTCTGATTCCAATGAGACTTTACCTTCTGCCATATGCTTTCACCAACCCTGAGCTTAGTGCAGTAAGTTTAACATGAGCTGTAACAGTATTATTACTCACCACATGACAACCCTTTCAGGGTTTCGGCCGTACTAGTACGGCTTACACACCAGGGTTTTTGATGTACTAGTACATATGCCTAAATTTTAGCGCCCTCAGATCTAGTGAGAGAAAGCTGGTAGGCCTACGTATGAAAGAATGGGTCTATGTGCACAGTATAAAAAAAATCCTGCAGCACACAGTGCATAAAGAGGGGGTGAAAAAAAAAAAAACTGACCATGTTTTTGGATTAAAACAGCGACTTTGCACGGTATTTATTATTGTATTCTAGTTTTCCTGGTCTCATTCTATAGAATGGAAGATATATTACAGAAATTGAGATGATTTTATAATGAAAAGTACCTTGATATTGAGCTCAAAGTAGTAGAAATGTTTGATTTTTACCAAAGTAAACAAATCATGCTAAGCATCCAATACACGTCAACTGGCGAGTCTAATATTCTTTCACAAGTGCGCCGATATTATTTATACCATTTTTCACACTAATGCAGTAGTCTGCATAACAGGAAATCTATTTTTTGCGAGAATAAAAATTCAAAGTGGAATGTAAGAGGGGCGTTGGGACATGACTAATGAACAGAGGAAATGTCATTTTAGTGCCAGGAATGTGTTTATTCTGGACCCTATTTGGAAATTGGCATCTTTTGAAATTTGTGTGAAATTAGCAAAATTGCTAAATTCTGACCACTGTATTGGATAGTTGAAATCGGTGGTTTTTTGCACTCTTTCAATAGAAAAAAGTTCTAGTGAAATATTCATGATTTTTGTTGACCAGTACAGTGGAATTGGCCGAAAATCTCTGAGACCGCTAACTTCGTGAGAGCATAATTCCATAAGTTTTCCATCAAATTTTATACTTTTGGTGTCATTATGATCAGGAAAATATTATCTTTTCATAAGAATTTTTTTTTTTTTTGAAATTTGGGCGACCCTGGGAGGGTTAATTAACTACAATACTTTTATACCTGTAGCCAAGACTCTCAAAGAGAACTTTTTTTTTTTTGTACTACAGTGGCCATCTCCCATCATGGTAATGACAAAAAAAAAGGGAAGAGGCACCCCTCATTCATTAGCAGTCCTGCCAGCATGTGTGGACACCACAATTCATTATTATAATCAAGGGGGAAGCGCTAAACCTGGAGGATTATACAGCACCTGGGGGAAATGTGGAAGGCATTCAGAGAAATGACACCACAATTCAAATTACCTTTGAAACAGCAACATTCCTACCCTTTTTTTTCAGTGAAGTCATTGTAATTGTGTAATATTTACTGAAAGCAGCAGTGTTCATTAATGAAAATTGGTAGTAAAGGTTCTTTCCGACAATTTTAGACGGTAGTGTTAGTGTCAAAAGTAAAAAAAAAAAAAGTTTTTACATAAAGCTCTCTTTGCAGCTTGATGGTAAAGAAGCCACTACCTGTACTGATCAAGATGAGGAGCCAGATTTCTTCGAGGAAACCCATGGTCTCCCTACCCATGTTGAACACCATCACCAGAGCTGAGCATTGTCATATACTAACCTTATAATTCCTTCACCTGCCATAGCACTTGTACATTCCTATAAATATATTAATAAATTTTCTGGAATCTATTTTTTTATACAAAAAATTAAGTATTAGGGAACCATACAGATGTTTATTTTCCAGTATTAGTTTGGAAAACCTGTAAATTGTCAATGAGATATTTTGTTACAACTCTTATAGAAGTGTAGTATTTGCCCACATTAAATTGTACTGATTTTTCGGAACAAAATGAGTAAATTTGTACAAGGAGCTTAAGAAAATTGTTGCCATTGCCTCGTTAAAAAAGTAATGTTTAAGACAGCTTGCAGTAATTCAAATAGATCTGTTATAAATCAATATGAGTTGGTTTCATTTATAAGTTGTGAAAAGATAGTATAAGACTTTTCATCATTCCATATGTTGGTGCTATATAACAGATGGGAATATATTAAGCATATCATTTTCAAAGCAAGTTGAGACTGTTATGCTCCGTCCATCAGTATTTAAGAAAGTTAATATATTTTATGATTGGAAAATTATGATGTACAATAGTTAAAAATATATATATATGTAGAATTGCTCAAGTTAGTTGATTTTTTGAAGAATATAGCAATATAATGAGAGAATATTCATTATGTTGTACATTGTATGTGATGATATAAGTAGTATTTAATACTACTTTAGGTGCTACTAGTAGTGAAGTATGGTATTTAAAGTTTGGAAAAATGCTGCTGTGTGTGACTGAAGTCACTATTGTTATCCCAGTGAATTCACTGACTAGACATATTGTTTACAGGAGAAACATTTTGCATGTATTAACCTCTCTCGTGTCTACTGGTGAACGATGACATCACTTCATACTCCTGCTTATTTTAATGTCTAAAACAATCAACTAGATAAATCTAGTTAGTAATGATGTTTTGGTCCCTATAGTTTCCTTCTGTTCCATGTGCCAAACTTGTTTTAGCAATTTTCTTGTATAGAAATTATACTATTTTGTCATGGAATAATGCAATTTGTTAAACTGAAAAATACTCAATAATTCGAGATTTGAAAATAGTTTCATATTTCTATAAATTTAAAAAAATTATATTTTTTAGGTGAAATGCCATTCAGCATGCATTTAAACTCTACTATTTTCTGCTGAATATCTATGAATTTGTCAAGCCTTTTTTATGTATCAAAATATGCTGTAAATATTCTTGGGTTGCACTATTTATCTAACCCAGCTGCATTATATGCCAGTTGGATTACTACTACTATTCAAATCAACCCAAAGAATATTGTTTTCGATATGTTGACTTGAAAATGAGTTTTAAGGACAGTGGAAGAATTCCCTAATTTTATGTGTATATATATATATATTGCTGAATCAGCAACTTATTATTTAGATTTTAGTTTTCGTTGGTATTTCTGCTATGCACATAATTTTTTGTATATAAATAGTTATGAGATTATTTTCTCTGCAACTTGGTACTGTATATTAAACATGAAAGGTGGAATTACTTTTATTTCCTTTTTTAAAATAACTACAAGTGTTTGTTGATACAAACATTATTGGGAATATACCAATAAAATAGGAGAAATGCCTTCATGTGATTTAAAATTTTAGTGCCTTTTGTGAATGTACAATATTATTAATATTGATGACTGAAAAATGTAAACATAAAAGTGCTGTACATGCCAAGGGTCTTTTATAATTAAAGAAAGATTATGTGACTGCTATAAGCTGATACAGTTCATAAAGATAAAGGATTAAAAAAAAGCTTGATAAAGACAATACAAGATAATGCAACACAGTCTTCAAGCAGTTTGACTCCCCCCCCCCCCCATTGCTATATTCAAAAAAATGATAAAACCATATAGCCATGAAGAACAAATACATGTTTGAGGTATAATGAGCATTCCTATCCTGTTTCTAAGACTGGATGTGTTGAAAAAAAGACCCGAGCTGCAAGTCTTGTCAGATCAATGGAGAACTAGCAACTGCTTATTACACCAACTTTCCAGCTGAATAAAATTCTTATTTTTGTTATATTATATTCATTGTGAAGAACTAATTATTACAGTGTATGGGGAAATAATAGAGAATTATAGGTCCAATTCCTTGGATCAAGAGCACTTCAGTGACTTGAAGGGGTAGATCGAGCATTAAACCCTAAAGTCTTACTGAACCTAGAGACTGGGACAATAAGTGGAGAATTATCACTAATGGGAAGAACTTCAAGACTTCACTTTGGCTTTGAAGAACTGCCAGCATCACTACTTTTGTGCTCTGGGGGGCATAATTAAGGGTTATTTTTGGACTGCAGATAACTGAAGCCATGGATATGGGGGTTCTACTGCACTGGCATCCTTTCTTTTGACAAAGGCAATTCAATGGTTGTCCTTGATTGCAAGGATTACTTCTGTAAAGCTGAAGCCCTTTCTGATTCACACCTCTACATTTTTCATTTCCAACTCATGATGGCATCAAGAGAACTTTCAGCAATCTCTCTGACCTCTGTCCTTCTGACTTATTTTTATGGTCTTCCTGAAACTCGTAAACCTGATCTCTCTCTATGTCCCATCATTTCCTCCAGAAGTTCTGACTCTTATCCTCTTGCCCATTAGCTGATCAAAACTCACTCCTTTTTTCTCCTGCCCACTTCCATCCCTCTCAAGACTTCAAATGTGTTCGACCCCCATCCAACCTTTAAGATGTTAAGTCTTAAAATTGAATTCCTCTTGATGTTTTCAATTTTCTTAGTAAAGGCCAATGAAGGGCTACTTCATCTCCCTATACCTACTGATGTCTTTCTTGATCTTATTTGCCTTTGCATGGACTCCTACTCTTTATTTTTTTCTCCAAGGTAAATTTTATTCTCAAACCTTCGGTGTTGCTATGGACTCTCCTGTTTTTGCTAACCTTTATATAGAATATGAATTTCAAAGCTGTTCTAATTTCTACTACTGTAGTGTGCTCTACCCTCTGGCTCCAATGTGTAGATATCTCTGCTCTGTGACCACATGACTAGTCTCTTCCAACCATTTTTTGATGGATTTAACAATCTTGCGCCTTCCATCAAGTTCAAAAATTGAATGGGAACCTAACTCTTCACTTCCTTTCCTGGATGTGAATGTCCATTGCTCAGCTACAGGCTTTTTCATGATAAATGTCAATTATTCCACATTCCCTATTTTTCCTCAGCCACCACATTGCTAGACATTAATATAGGTGGGCCACACGTGGTGTCTCGCCAATGCAGAGGGTTTTCAATTATACCCATTCTTAATTTATTCAGACTTCCTACAATAAATGTGTTCACCACTCATTACTATAAGCTGAGGACGAAAATATTTTAACCCTCTGGGGGTTTCGGACGTACTAGTACGTCTTACGACCCAGGGCTTTTGATGTACTTGTACGCCTAAATTCTAGCGCCCTCAAATCTAGTGAGAGAAAGCTGGTAGGCCTACATATGTAAGAATGGGTCTATGTGGTCAGTGTGCACAGTATAAAAAAAAGTCCTGCAGCACACAGTGCATAATGAGAAAAAAAAAACTGAGTGTTTTTGGATTAAAACAGCGACTTTGCACTGTATTTTCATATGGTATTTATTGTTGTATTCTAGTTTTCTTACGAAGTCTCCCTTATTATCAACGCACTAAAAAACAAGGCAGGAGATTTAAATACCTTACCACCCCTTATATACAAAAAAGTGTCACAAGTGCTATCACCAATCATTGCAACACTCTTTAACAAATCCATTGAATCCTCCACCTTCCCTACAGTACTCAAAATAGCAAGGGTCACCCCGATCCACAAAGGAGGAGACCAAACAGAGTTGAATAACTATAGGCCAATATCCAACTTACACCCTCTCTCAAAAATCTTCGAAAAATTAATTCATAAACGAATCTACTCCTCCCCTTATCCTCCAAAACATACTCAACCCCTGCCAATTTGGTTCAGGCCTAATAAAAATACTAATGATGCTATTAACACATGCTAGAACATAATAACACTGCAATAGAGAAAAAAGAAGTCCCACTGGGGATCTTCATTGACTTACTAAAGCTTTGATACAGTTGACCTTTGACTTGCTCCACGTAAAATTGTCACACTATGGTATAAGAGGGCACTCCCTCAACTACCTCAAGTCTTACCTCAGCAACAGAAGCCAATTGGTACGCAAATGGGCAAACTCTTCTGCACAACCAATTACAGTTGGTGTCCCACAGGGAAGTGTCCTTGGCCCTCTTCTCTTTCTCCTATACATAAATGCCCTTCCAAATGCTTCGCAATTACTCAAACCCACACTATTTGCAGATGACACTACATACGTCTTCTCTCACCCGAGCCCATCACCCCTAGCCAATACTGTAAATACCGAATTACAGAAAATATCTACCTGATGAGGACTAAAAAATTTACCCTAAACATTGACAAACCTACTTCATTCAGTTTGGTAACAGAGCTACAATTTTCCCTCTTAACATAATGATAAATGGATCACCTATCACAAAACTAACAGAGGGAAATTTTTAGGAATCCACCTTGATAATAGACTCAAATTTCATACACATATACATCAAATTTCTAAGAAAATTTCCAAGACTGTAGGCATACTATTGAAGATACGGTACTATGTTCCACAGTCAGCCCTCCTGGCCCTATATCACTCCCCTTATTTACCCCTATCTCACCTATGGAATTTGTGCATGGGGCTCAAAAACAATTAACCATCTCAGACCACTAATTACCCAACAAAAGGCTGCAGTTAGAATGATAACAAATTCTCACACAGGCAGCCCCACTCCACCAATATTCAATACACAAACCTACTCACCATACAAAACATCCAACTTATTACTGCACCTATTAAAATACATAGAACACTTAACTCTGATATTAACCTCCCCTCAAACATCTCCTTGCCAACCTCAACAGAACACATGACCATAACACAAGGCACAGATCACTCTTGGATGTTCCTCGTGTCCCCTCTCAAAACTATGCAAAAACTCAATGCACTTTAAAAAGGGCCCCAAAATCTGGAATTCATTACCTGTAAATATAAAAGAAACACAACTGTTTATAAATTCAAGTCTCTTCTCAAAGATTACTTACTCACCCAAAACCAAATAAATACTGAATAACTGAACATTATAAATTGTATATCTTAAATGTTCTCACAATTATAAACACATAAATGTTAAACTAAAAACCCAATCTAACTTTATTATTTTTTAAAAAACATACCAAACAGAATCACTACCTAACTGAATGCAACCATATGACCTGTCTTTGTAATACTCCTTGTGCTTTATAGTTATCTGTTTACATTAATGTTTTATCACTGATTTCATCCCTTGTTAGTAGCAGCGCTGTATAGTCCTTGTGGCTTAGCGCTTCTTTTTGATTATAATAATAATAATAATCATTGCTTAGTTAATCTTAAGTTAATTTTAAGCCAGCCCGTAATGCTATGCATAGTATAAGTGGCTTTGGCATACTGCTCTTATCTGTATTTTTTTGTACCTCTGTATGTGTGCACAAATTGGAAATAAATAAATAAATGGAAGACATATTACAGAAATTGAGATGATTTTGACTGGTTTTACAATGAAAAGTACCTTGAAATTGAGCTCAAAGTAGCAGAAATGTTCATTTTTACCAAAGTTCAAAAGTAAACAAATCATGCCAAGCATCCAATACACATCAACTGGTGAGTCTAATATTCTTTCACAAGTATGCTGATATTATTTATACCATTTCTACACTATGCAGTAGTCTGCATAACAGTAAATCTTATTTTTTTTGTAAGAATAAAAATTCAAAGTGGAAAGCCAAAGAAATATAAGAGGGGCCTGGGGATGTGACTAACGAACAGAGAACTTGTTATTTTAGTGCCAGGAATGTCTTTCTTGTTTATTCTGGACCCTATTCAGAAATTGGCATCTTTTGAAATTGGCAAAATTGCTAAATTCTGACCACTTTATTGGATAGTTGAAATCGATAAATGGGTGGTTTCTTGTACTCATTCGATAGAAAAAATGGAGTTCCAGCGAAATAGTTATGATTTTTGTTGACTAGTACACTGGAATTGGCCAAAAATAGGGCAATATCGCCGATGCGTAAACATCATCGAGACTGCTAACTTCGCGAGAGCATAATTCCGTAATTAATTTCATACTTTTGGTGTCATTATGATCGGGAAAAAATTCTCTTATCTTTTCATAAGAATTTTTTTTTTTTTTTTTTTTAATTTGGCCGACCCTGAGAACAAGTCTCTGAGAGGACCTGTTGACCCCCCAAAGGGTTAAGGTAAGTACTGTGTGTACTGTACATTTTTTAGGCCTAGCTCTTTTGCTCACTTTATATGGTAGTGTAAACATGTTATCAGGCTTTTACATGCATTTGAAAGTTCAAAAAGGCCGTTTCATTTTACTGCGATTTTTGCTTTACAGTAGTAGCCTGGAACCTAACCTGCTGTATAAGCAGGGCCCTCCTGCACAC